TCATATATATATTTGGTGCCCTCCTGTACCAATATTTATGTGTTGAAATAAATAAATAAAACTTAAATAGTCATGTGCAAAGCAAGATGAAAACTTTTTTGTATGGTTACACCTGATAAATTCAATTCTAAATAAATACATTTTACGAATACCAGTTGCTGATTAAGTTCATTAACAGTTCTTAATGATACTTATTTGTCTATAAAACCACACATAAACACCTGTTGCAATCGACAATAAACAAATTATTATTTTTATAAATCTGTTTAGGTACTTCTAATTGGTCCGGTGATTACTTCCTTTATACGGGTGGTGTCGCTTTCGTTTATGAAGAAGGAAATCATACTTCAAATGACTTAAATCAAGAAAATACGGATCATAGTGAATTTTGTTTACCGAAACCTGTATCTATCAGAAAACAATTGGAAAACGTTTTCTTTCGAGATTGGAATTCAGAGTTTACCGATGAACTTTAAATAATTTTCTTATAGAATTTACTCTTATCAATGTAAGATTAGTGTTTTTTCTAAAGATAGAATAATCATTTAAAACTTTGTCGTCTAGTTCCTATTTAAATGCACATGATCATTGTTTTTTTATCTCATCTTGTGATTCCGAATAGAATTGCTGATATGATTGAGGATTTATAAATAGCTTAAGAATGCATTCATCTAATTTATCGTTTATTTTAAACAAACCATAAACATCGTCATCATATGATATTTCTTATCATGTCCAGATATATTCGTTCGTAGTTGAATCCTAACAATTATTTGTAATTTAAATAAAGTAGACTTACTGGTCTAGCTTCATAATATCTATTTCACTGTGGATATTCTTTATATTTAAATTCAAGTTATCGAAACTGGCAAATGGACTCGTTCTGTTCTTTCGACGTTTGACTAGTTAAACGTGGCACGGTGCTAAGTTTAGTATGACTTGAGTACTATGTGTTTGGATAAGATTCCCATCAAAATTTATATGACTGAGTGGCTTAATAATTTGATTTTATACATTTCAACCTTTATCTAATTTGATCTATAGACTAACACTCACATAAACAGTACGGTTTAATTACATTTATAAACTTAATTGAGGTTGATCAACTAAAACTTCATTTACAGTTTAGTTGACTGGTGATATATTGCATCGTAAGCCACATAATAACTGTTATAACTTATGACCTGTGTGCCCTGTTTATTGTATAACGTAATGATATCGCGAAGCAGAGAGCAGTGAATTATCGACCGGGCCAGTGACGCATGAAACCCATGCGAGCACTCTAGTGTCTTGATTGGTCCTGCATCCTCCTAGCTCAGCCAATTAACTCCAGAACACCAACCTCAGCCTCTGCGACATGAATCATTTATTTCAAGCATACTGGGTTTATATACCAACCAGACAAACCACAGCGTACCATAAAATATGAAACAACATTTGTACAAGAATTAGCCAAATGTGGCTGTGAATGAGGGAGGTAGTAATTAATAGACAGGCCATAACTCAAGAATGGTAAATCGTATAATAATAGTTCATAGGTCAAAATAAAGCTCATGATAAAATGGACATGAATATGAACAGTTTAGTCACTTAAGAATTATACTATAAAAATATGCGCATAGTAGTTGTCCATAAATGGATCCCAAAAGTTACCATTCATTATTCGTATCGGGACATAACAATAACACAAGTTATAAAAGAACACGTCGGTTGATTTGAAGAAACTTGAGAATAAGTCTGTGATAGCGTTACATGCATTAGAAACAGGACAAAAGATTGATTTTGAAGTGACCAAAATACTTCAGAAAGGTTTTAACACCCATAAAGAAAAATTGACAGCAGAAGCGCTGTATATATGGGCGAACAAGAACAGCCTGAACCGAAAAGATGGCATTCAACTGTCGACTACCTGGCAAATTTCGTTATGACAAGTAATCTGAAACCTATTTTTATTCAACCTGTTTATTCCACATGTATCGTTATTTTTGACTGATTTCAATGAGTTTTTAGCTATACAATTAGGTATTTATCAACCTTGAACTTGCACTTTTATTTATTTTTTCCTTCATATATAACATAATCAACACAGAACATCAATAATTAATCTCACACATACATACCTACACACACACAAACAATTTGTTATTCAGTTAATTATTTCCATGTAGTTGAATTTCCCACATGAATTGTAGTTAACGGACTCATTTTATCCTATTTTACAAAAATCAACATCCAAATTTGATTGGTGTAACACAGTATAGTTATTATTGTTAAAGAGCTACATATTTATTTAACGATTTTGATTATTACCCTGAAGAAGTCCAGACAAGTTAGCTGGACGAAACGTTGGAATTATTTAAATTTCAATTGCTGAGATTATTTCAAATATAATTTTCACATATAATGACTTCTCTATATTCAGCGCCCAATTTCTCTCAAACTATTCGTTCTAATCTTGACGAATATTCGTATAAATCTTTGTAATTGCTTAGATATCTTATCAAAACAAAAAAATTACTAGTATAGGGGTTGTGGAGATTATTAAGTTTTTGATTGAGATCATGAACCGATTGATGTTAGACCACCACAATTGAAAACCTGGAAGCACTGGACGGCCGTTTCGTCCTATTGTGGGACGCCTCCGCAGTGCGCATCCACGATCCCACGCCACCGCGTTATCCACTCAGCCACGAAACGCGCATTCTGGATTCCACTGCTAGCCACTATCCATCTTTGCTTATGCAATGTAATTTGTTTTAAAAAGATTTTATTCAACTTGAGAATGTGAATACTTTGTAAGATTTAATTATATTCATAAATGAACATACACTAATTAATAAATACTTCAATTATCTTCTATGTCAAGTACAAATATCATTTGGATTTTTTAATCAAGTTTCTAATTTAACATTAAAAATCGAAACAGAATAATTGACTTAAAGAGAAAGAATGTATATGTAAAATCTCATCGAAAGAGTTTGAAATAAATCCAACGTTTCGCCTGACAATCTGATCCAAGCTTTTTGAAGAATAATGAAATTCCGATATTCTTTATTTTCAATATTCACATATTTTAGGTTAATTTATAAAAGTAAACAAAACTATCTAGACAATACTATCAAAGTAATAGTATTAATAAAGGAAAAAAAAACTAAATGTTTACAATCGACTTGAGTTAGTTAACAATGGCTTATCGGTTAAATCATTTAACTCTTAACTATTATGTTTCACGTGAAGATTCTACACTTCCAAAAAAACACCTAGATGGAACCATTTGGTTTTTATAAAACCATTGTAATTCTAAGTACATAAACTTATAATGAGTAAATTAGTCTCAAAAATATTTCATGTAATTAGTTCCCTTTATGAGTTTAAATAAAGCCAGAACAAATATAGATACAGAATAATATGAATTCATTATATTCCGTGGTTTCTCATCAACCTCTTACAACCAAATATATATTTGAATTTTACATTGAGGTAAGAAATAGTATGGAACAACTGACATAAGTAAATGTAAAGAATTGGAATGACAAAGGTTATCAATATTAATCCTCTATATATATGCAAGAACAGGTCAGAGGTTATTTGGTGTTAGAATCAAAGAAACACCGATCCTTAGTTTTTTCTTGATTCTAACACCAAATAACCTCTGACCTGTTCTTGCATATATATATAGTTATTATTGACTTGATCACTTCAAATAAATTGAGCATTGGATAGAATGTTCTAAATAAAAATAATATGTTTGTAATATCCCAATGAGTAGGAAATTAATTAGTGAATTACTGTATCTCAAAGTGATTCGATAGTTAAACGTGAAGAATTCGGTATCGGGTTAGCAATTTAAAGATACCATGCTCAATTTTGAACCTGAAAGTTTGGTCACATTTGAGGTTGTGAACCTCGAAATGCTGAGTTTCAGACTAGAATTGTACAGATATTCTGTTTCTCCTTATTTTCTATATTTCCATAGCTAATTTCAGTCCATGGTGAAAGCTAGCCATATACACGTAGCAGCTATTATTTTATTATGTAACTAAACCGTTTATCTTAACTTTTGAACAGATGAATTATTCTGATCTTTCTAGTCTTTCTATCGTTTATGTGTCGCCTCGAGCATATATGTATGGTAGTCTTATGTGTCTGTAATATATATAGTGCTTATAAATATTGTCAGTCAGTCAATCAGCTACAACGTAGGACCAGGCACATATATGCATCGGTCCTCATTAACACAAAAAGATGGACACCGGATTCATAAAAGTAGTTAATTCAGAGGTGGTAATAAATATTGAGCGGTTTTTTGATGAGTAGGTCTGTTCACTATCTCCTTCCGTATCCCTCATTGTCTGTCTTCGTTAATAGATGTCTGGAATATATGTATCCAAAATTACTCTCTTATTTAACATTCAATATTCTATTGTTAATTCGATCGAATACACTGGAAGTCAACTAGGATACACTTATGCCCTTAGCTTCAGTCTCGTCTGATCACAATGTAGTCAGACAATGGGATTATGCACCCAGCCTATGTTAATTCACTCTATGTTTTGTTAGCTGTTGCCAAATCGTACGGCTCGAAACACTTGTCTTTCAATTATTAGGTTCCAGGTCCTTACCTCGCTCCACCTACTTTAATGAGTGGATAATATATTTAGGCAGCATCCCAACAATGTAGATATGGTGTTTGTTTATCACTTTGACCTTTCATTCTAACAGACCATAATTTGTTTAAGTTATTACTGTCACATGGGAAATTTGACAAAAATGCATGCAAAAAATTTTTACTGGAGAAATTATTTGCTATCTAAACATGTATTTAAATATAGTGTTTATTTCTAGAATAATCCAAAGTGTCATCCAGTGTTAATCAAATTCATCGTATCTAATGTCACTAGTTCCTTTATGGTTTTTTACATGAGACCAATAACATATATCTACTATATCAACAACACATCATTTATGTTAGTTTTATCTTTTTAAAACAAATATTATTACTGAGACAAACATTTAAATCAATTTACTTGTTACTAAAACTAGGAAACAAGATTCTGTAAGAAATGAAAATCCAACACAATTCATCATTTATTAATGGAATCCTTTGAGTACGATCTATTAAGTCAAATAAATAAGAATTCTTGACGAAGTTGGAGTTTAATTATCTCTTCATATATTATAAAGGATTGTTCAAGATTTCAGTAATAGTAAACTCCTTGTCTGAATCTATGATAAACTTAAACAAATCTATAAAAGAGATAAAAATTTGTGAAATTAGCTACGGATTCAAAAATAGTTATATATAAGAATAAACTTTACCAAAAGTTCTTACTTGAATAACTACAAGAAAGTAGTACACACACATTCATTATATTTTAATTTAATATTCATATAATCTTGGTCTATCGACAATTAAAATCAGTAGATTCAGGTTGCATGACACAGATACTTTACTTTGAAGATGTTTATCACTATAGGGCAACATCTGGTGAATAACCACTGAAAAATTGGAAGCAGCAGCTTTTTTGATTTGATGTGTCCAATTCACACAGAAGTATACAGTTTTGAGACCATGTAAGTCAGCATCATAAACAGATGACTGCGTTTCACTGTAGAATTGCTAAATAAAGTAAGTAGATTTTGACTCAACACTTGAGTGACGTCATCGTCATAGAGAAACTTGATTGCGCCCGTACATTGAGTAGATGGCTACACTACTGGATTGGACAAAACAGATATTCAGTAACTCTTAACTTTAAAGTAGTTGTTACCGTTCTGTAATTAGCTCTATCTTCAGATCAATTATTTCTGCACATATTGCATGCCTGTGTACCCTAATTTTGAATTTCTCAATTGTGAGATACCAGAAGTACATGCAACTAAGACGCAGTAAATGACAAAGACTTTTCAACATTATTTTCAGTACAAACTAGTTTCACTGTCAAATTAATGAGTCTTTTCATTACCTGAATAGGTAATAAGGTTATTTTCAGACCCAGTAATTTCTTTCACAATATCATCAATTATTTCATCGCTGAAGTCCAGTTCAAAATAGCGTAAAATACTGCGTAAATCATCTTTTGACAGTGTTCCATCACCTAAAATAACGAAGAAATAACTATTCAGTATTATACATAGTACACTTTAACAAACAACGGAAAGGTTCTACACAAATGTTTGATGTAACCCCATTATGTAAGGCCTAGAAATGCTACCATCCATTATCCAATGGTCGGTAATCATCTGTTCACTATGTTGTATGTGTGTACCAACGTAGGGAAAACTGTTTCAAGTACATCGTTTTTCAGTTGTGTAATTGACGTTTATTACTTCTCATATCAGTGAGGAGTTTGATTTTCATTAAATGGGATACTTATTTGTTAAACAAGTCACAAGTTAGACTCTTGCCGTGAAATCTATTGTTACCTACCATGATATGTGGTTCATGCATTCATTTTAAGTAATAAAATAATAACCGTATAAATCAATAAAAATTTACAAAATATTTTGCTTTAATTCTCATTAAAACACAATATTCTCCAATACATTCTTTGATCATAACATCGATCTTATTCTTGTTATTGTAAAAGAGATCATATGATTGATCACCTTTAAGATGTAACGTAATTGGTTACGTTCTACTTTTACACCGATGATTAAAATGTTATTCTAAGCTAACATGGTGAAATGTCCAATATTTAGAAGGTTGGTTTTATAATAAGTTAATCGATTACAAATATTTTCTACTTAGACTGTTCACAGTAGCATTGATTCGAAAATTGCTGTTGTAGGGGTGAGAACTAAAGTTGAATTAATGCATATATTGTGTCTGGTTTTAAACTATCAACATAGTTATTGCGATAAAATGTACGGTGACAGTATCATAAGTGTTAGACAACTTTAATTTAGGATGAAGTGAATACTGGTCCAGATGCTGTTTTTGTATTCAACCTCTCAGTAATCAAAGTAGATTATTTATATTTAAACCAACGTAAAACTTTTCGGCCGTTATTTACATAAGGTTTTCAAATGACTGGTTGTTATTACTATCAGCTCTTCGATCTCAGATATATTACTATTGTAGGTGATATGTATATACCAGTTTTATCTTATATTAAGAAGAGATAATTACTGTGTTTTGGTTTTGCAACTACGCCCAGTTAACAAACTATCAAGTTATAAACCCTGGTAAAGAAATATATTGAGTTGTTTATCAGCAATGGACAAATTTCATACTATTTTCTGTTAATTTTTAAACTCAAATGAAAGTCTGATTTTAATAAAACAATGACTGAAGTAATATATTAATAGTTCTGTGTAAATGATATCATTAATATTCATAATCCATGGTAGTTCTCGTCACTTAAATATACCGCATTTTTACCTGAAGTTTGTGCTAATGATGTTCAAAAGAATAGTGAAACTTTCACTACAAAACCATCTAGCTCATAGAGCGAACCTCCAACAAACCCATCTACTTGAGCTACAAACCCTAACCATCATCTCAATACTTTGAAACCATTGCATATAAAATGTATTCGCTTGCCAATAAAAGTCATAACTAACTACTTAGTAAGGTAACATGATTTAGTACTTTTTCAGAGTAAATGTAAATGTTTTCTATGAAATCAAGATGAATTATTCATGTATTTGTTTGGAGGATGGACAAATGTTCAAACAATGGTGAGTCGAACATGATCTATTTACATAATTGTTTCTAAACATCATTTATCTCTTTTCAAGAAAAAAATAAGCGACGCTCTTCACAAATGAAATTGAGGCGATTTCTCGAAATATCTGAAAGCATGATCAGATACCTTTACTCACTTTTTATGAGTGTACATCCACTACTATTGTCTACAGTTTCGTACGGAGTTTCAGTGGGAACATTTTGAAGAATAATGCAATACTGTCAATGTGGTTTCTAGAAATAAAACCACTTATTTCGGGCTTATCAGTCACTTAGATTTGTATCCATTTTTGGACAAATTGACTTCTGGGAAATAAACATCTGACTGACGATTATTGGTCATCCAAATAATATGGCCCTAACTTGATTCACTTTACTCGTGAATTATTATTCAGGTTTTTAATCTGAGTACAAGTTTCAAAACTGAATGGAAACAAAAACATCGGAGAATGAATATCAAACTGATAAATTACAAACAACTGCAATCTACAGAGTGAATTTCTACAGTCAATTTTGATTAAAACACATTCAATATCGATAAAGCTCTACAGAACTTTATATCGTCAAACAGATTTATCAATACAGTCGTCAAAGTACAACAATTGGAAAGTACGCGTTCCGATTAAATATTTCAGTAGACTTAATATAAATATCTGAAGTAATAATTAGAAAGAAGAGTATCATACAACTTATACAAATCCATTTTATTTCATTGATACGCTACTAACGGTTAAGCGATACACATCAATAATTTTACCGAAGGGTTTCTGAAAATCCGTGGTATTCTGGATAGATTATTGTATGTTCTATTTAGTCACATTCATTGATTTGAATAAAACTCATTAATAAATCTTTTGAACCTATAAAGAGAAGCTGTTAGTTACGTCTAATAATTTATTGTTTGCGTTGGCATCCTCCATATGTTTCGGCAAATAACCTGACCCGTACATCTGTTATCAGATCGGTCAGCAGACTAGATCTGTCACAGTAACAGTGGTAGCTATTAATGAATTTCAAGACTACTGAAAACCAAGTTCTCATAATCTGAATCACAGAAACCCATACTCGTATGTATTTAAGCACCCAAGAGGTGATGCATGTATATAGATGAAAACGACTGCTTTAGTTGACGTTATATTGTACAAAACCTAACATATTATGTATTTAATGTTTGGATTTTTTATCAGTCCTCATTTTTAGAGTATTATTTAGAGTACTTATTAATTTGTATGGTCTCCAGTGCACAAAAATCCACTGTCATATGTCCCTTGTCTATTAATGAGTCATTCATATTTTTAAGTTACATGTCCTTGTGCTTATGACCTTTCTTATGATTGGTTAGTTATCTTTATCCGTAATATTAATGTTAACACCAACTAATCAATAAACTAGATGAGAAATGTAGTCAGCTGTTAAATAATGCAGTCTTCAAAGTGGGGAGTAGAATAATTAATCATAACAACTATTTGGAAAAATTATAACACTCAGGGTTGTCATGACATCCACCTTGGCAATTTTTTTAAGAGAAATGAAAGACTTTAGTAGTTATCGTTGAAAATTAGTTGCTTAAAATGATTGTGAAATATTGACAAGGGAAATGTTCATCTGGGAGAATTTAGAACAACCGACGTGATAGAACTATTCTGCAAACTTATAATATGTCGAATAATTTTAGTCCTACGAAAACACTACATATTATACAAATTGTTCCGTACATTGGAATAGTGTAGAGGAAATCTATTAATTTTTGATAAGCATTTCTTAAGAGTTGATAATCTCCTAATATGAAGTACAAAAGAAATGATTTGATATTAATTTGGAAAGAAATTCTATCAACCTAAATGACTGTTATCTTTGAAGTGGTTGATTGTGAATGAATAAAGCCGTGATTTATATTCTTTTTTTAACTCAAATAATTTTTTTAGGCAAAGATGGATAATGGCTAGCAGTGGAGTCCAGGACGCGCGTTTCGTCCTATTTGAGACTTGTCAGTTGGATGTACCTGCATCTCAGAGTTGATGTTCACTCTGGGACTCGAACCCAGTACCATTCGCTTCAAACGCCATCGCGTTATCCACTCAGCTACTGAGTCCTGATAGCCACTTGCTTGTGCAATGGGGTGAATTTGAATTCACTTGGTATTAGATTAGAACTTGATATTGGTAATTGCCTTATAACAGATTTTCTTTAAACGCTTTACCTTTTTCAATATACACTACATTTTGGCAAACTATCATTTCATAGATTTTTTTTAGATAACATGAATCATGTGATAAACAAAATATTTATCTTATGTTCTTATGTTCACCCGTATAAATATTGAATAAAACAGGGCTGTTTTCTTGTATGTCAATCTAGTAATTGTTGTAGTAAAATAAGTTGTGTTTTTTCTTTAATATGAATTCTTTGTATTCCAAATAAACCTGTGAAAGACTTGTGTTATTCTATGTGACTAAATGTTTTTAACTAATTTTGTATTGTCTATTTCTTCAACGATTCTTAGAGATTTATTATTATTATTATTATTATTATTATTATTATTATTATTATACACTGAAGAAGTCCAGTTTATATTTCAGGGCAAATACTTTTGACTGATTGATGGTGTTGTTATAGTTAGTCCTTTTTGAACTTTTACTACTCGACCTACGTCTTGAATTGAAAATCTAACAAAATTCATCGAAAATAATCAGCTTTATAAGCGGTATGTACATTATGTACGAAACAAAACTGTAGATACAAATTATGCATTAAAATAAACTTAACACTTCGAAATCAATATTAGCCTTTCATTTAGAAAAGAAAAGAACAATCATAATTAATTTAATTTGTAATGGTTTGGATTATCACGTTGTTGATATATTTACTCTACAAATAGGACGAAATGTGAGTCATGGATTTCATCGCCAACCGCTTTTCATTTATTTTAAACACCCAGCTTCACTTCTCATATGTACTGATTTGTAGAAAAGATGATTAAATCAAGAGATATTTATAAAAATCCAGTATGGACAGGTCAGTATCTTAGCTATCATAACTACTATCTAGTTCAATACAAAGGTTTGATTAAGTGCCTACTCAATAGGATTAACCGTATCTGTACAGTTGATACTATTAAAGACGACGTGAAGCTGCTAAACGAAAGATTGATGGAGAGTGAATGCACACTAAAAGTCATAAATTGATGGAAGAACCAGTGAGTTGATATCTACTATTACTCTGCCGTATGAAAAATCTATCTACATCACTCTATCAGTCAGAGGTGAATCAAATAGCTTATGTAGATATGCAGGCTTTGGTCGATTCACAATATAACATACTATACAGTCAGTCATAAATATTGAAAAACTGTCCATGCTTTTTACCACAAGAAAAACATCATGTAAGAGACTGAGTCACACGCCACTATGTTTAATAACTTACATTTGTATGTGAAAACAGATTTAGAAGGAGGAGTAATCGTGATTTGCAAGTTAGGGTGGCTGAACATGTACAAAAATGGCCCCAAAGTCAAATTAATCAAAATGACCCTGTGTGAGCTGATAACAAGCACTCATCTCTCATTGTCAAACATAGTTGAAAAAGCCATAAGACTGATCTTAACTCAACCTTTGTAGTTATCTTTGGAGAATACTTAAGCAAATTGAAGTCTTAGATATACGAAAGCTTACTTCTCTCTGTGTCTGAAAGCAGTTTGTACTTCCACTACCCAGGTAACATCGGTTTACTAATCAAAGTGAAATGACTCATACTATTATTATCTCTTTTTGAAACCAAATAAATGCGTCATCAGTTTATTCGAAATGTATTGGACTAGGATACCAAATATTTCTGATAAGGCTCGTCTTCTCATTGTATTATCTAAATTCATCAAAGGAACTAACTGTTTTTAACAACCTTAAGTTGAAACTACATTAGAAGCTGAAAGAAATATTGATAACTTGAAAAAATTTCATGTTCTGTTTAAAGGCTGATGAGTATTTTTATTTCAGCGTGAGAACGGATGTTGCTGATATAATAATATGGTTGTCAGTTAAACTCGACCTACTGAGTAATTAAGAATACATTGTGTGAAAGACCCACATTTATTTGATGTTAGACAATTTGACTGATAGAGGTAGTTGATGGGACTGCAAAACGGTTAAATATAATATGCAGTCTACAATTTCGTTTAGTTTACACACTTCATACATGTGCAAATCCACAATCCGATCAATGATATTAGAAAAACAGTTTTCTGACTAAATAAGAGAATGATTCAGCCAATTGGAATAAAATTAACTGATAAGAATTATTTAGAGGAAAATGTTAGGACTTAATAACCTTCTCATCTATCCTGACAGAATCTACCCTGTTAAATAGTCACTCATTAACTAATAGGCTGAAAACACCATTGAAATATTTTTTTGATATTTCGAAGTTTCAGACTTAATGTATAATACAGAAGTGACCAGTTACACAATTCCTAGATTTGAATCAATGCCAAGTATATAATCAACTTCATATTAGTATGCCGGTTATTCATTTTGAACTAAAAATGTTCAAAATTACTGCTCTATTCGTAGGTTAATTTTATTTTAATTATAAGCAATCTTTCATTGTGAAAACTGTCAGCAAAGTTCAAAAGTTTGTCCGGTGTAATTCAATTTTTCATCTGGCGTTACGATATCTACATTAATTCTCAGGTCACTTAATACATTTTGTCACCATAATTGCGAGGGAGATGAATATTTCTGTCTGAATAAACTAACTTATGCTATTAATTCAATAAATATCTTTAACAGTTAAACAAATCAATGTGAAACTCACCATCTTGATCTAGTATTCGAAATAATTCTTCAAAATCATGGTCTAATTTCTTCTTGTATATTCGTTCAACAACAAAAGCGCACAGTTCTGAAAAATCTAATTTCCCATCTCCTATAATATGTATGTATTTGTAGTAATATGCTTTTTCAGCTTTAAGGAAAATACTTACGATCAACATCTAACTCAAAGATCAAATCTTGTAGTTCAGCTTCTGTTAATGCATCACCTAATGCTCTCATAACGAGCAGTATATCACCAGCTGTGATAACATTTTTATGACGTTGAGCTAATATAGAGAAAATGCTAGATAACCCTTAAAGTAAACAAAACGACAGTAATGATTTTAATTCCATCTAAAGCGAAATATACTCAACATTTGTGAACTATTAATATGTTGACTTGCACTGGTCACAAGTTTACGAACCTATTCAATGAAAAGTGAACGAAAAGTTAATCTGATTCATTTATTTAAATCACGTTTAAAATTATTTATTCAAGGTAGTATATATATATATATATATATATATATATATATATATATATATATATATATATATATATATATATATATAAATGGATATTTTATAATCTCCAGAAAACTCAGCTTTCCGTTACATTTAGGCACAAAGTTTCGATGATGCAGTATAAAGCATGGTCTTTCAAGTATGTTGGCGATCAATAACCCTGAGAAATAATGGATTAGTTGTCATATTGTGTCATTAGTAGTTCCAGATCGAAGTTTCTTTGAATAATCGTTTCTAAACTTGTGAGTTCGAATTTTTAAGACAGTATGAACTTTCGTGATTTTGCAAATATAGCATTTCGTCAGATCATTGGGAAGGGAATACATAGATTCCATCGTTTTGTACTAATCTCTTTCTAGTAATTAACTTCAAATATGGAACATCATTGTGCTTTAGATTCATTGCACAGACTAGTGGTAATCAGGACTCAGTAGATAAATGGATAACGCGATGACATTTGAAGCGAACGGTACTGGTGTTCGAGTCCCGGAGTGAACATCAACTTCCGGATGGTGGTACTTCCAGCTCACGAGTCCCAAATGGGACGAAACGCGCGACCTATATTTCACTGCTAGCCACCATCCATCATTATGTCCTATTACTTAATTCGCTGATAAAGGTAAAGTCGTTGGCTAATCAATTTTACAAATCGGAGATAGACTTATTTACTATACTGTAACCAACTTTTGTTTATATCCATTTTTCAACAATGTTTTAGTTTTAATCAAATTTAAAGTTTAATGATTCTACCTGTTTCTTAGAGTAAGAACCTAAAAAATGCCACATCAATTTCAGAATACGTAGTTTGTTTACTTTCAAAATATCTGATTTGTGAAGCTTTGTAGGTCAAAGGTGTCTAAACACGATGTTTGATCTGTAATCTTAGAAATAAAATAAGAATTAGTAGTGGAATATGTATAGTTTGTTTATGATACATCAAGAGTAATCAATTTTAAAATAAAAATTCTTTGTTTATAAAGGCTTGTATTTGAACTCACTAGCTCCGACGATAACGAAATAATGTTTGGAGAGATAGCTAATGAGTTCAGGTTTCAATGTGAATATCAGTATATAGGTGCAAGTAAATTTAGCTGACAGGTCCCAAGTCAAAGGAAACTTGTATCAAGTACTTTATTGTTAGCCATAATCTAATTTTTATTAAATCTCATTTTTATTTCATCACTTCATAGTGGAATTCTATAGGTTTTTAGTAGATGATAACAATTTACCAAAAATTAATAAGTATTGTTCTATAGTGAAATGTTTAATAGAAATTTTATTATAATTTAATAAAATGGTTTGAATGTGCTCACGTTTTTATGTGAGTTAAGCAATTAATTCAGATTATTTTAATTATTTCTTTCAATAAAATAAACTTATATCATATGGATTGGAGTCATATACATTTATTAGTAAAAAATCACTATAAATGAATGAATATTGGTCATATTATTATTACTGTTATTATTATTAATTATTATCATTATTAATTATTGATTATTATTATTATTATTATTATTATTATTATTATTATTATTATTATTATTAAACTCACGGTATTCCATCTTCCACCCTTTTTATTTTCTTTTTGGTCTTCCTCTGTGCATTCTGGTTCGATTGTTTTTTTTATATGTGTTCCACCAGGTTGAAAATTCACATAATCTTCATCTTTTTGTAAAACCATGATATTGAGAAATGAACAGGATTATATAAATTCGATTTTGTGATTAAAGTAGACTTTATTTTACACAACTTAACCAACTATCTATTGTCATAGTACTATGCTGATGAATGATTGGTTAAATAATTGATTGACCTTAGTAGCCTAAGAAAGCTTTGTATACGTATGTATTAGCAACCTAGAGCAACCAGTCTTTATACAGGTGTTTATTGAAAAAATCAATCTATCCTATCTAAAGAATACAATTCTATGAGGATTCACACAACTTTATTGAATTGAAGTTACACTCTACTAATTTTTTAAAATTTCCAACATATCAATGTCCTTTAAGTACATTTCAGAATTCATTGGAGATTTATCCATTCTCGAACAGTCGTTTGAATAGTATTTAGAGTTGAAAAAGTGAAAGCCCATATCTTTCAAAGGAAGCCCAGTCGATCATGGTAATTATTGATGTGATATCAAGCATATGAGAGAGTAAGTGTTTCCGAACATTTACAGATACACCTTACTGGTAAGTGTGGATAAACTGAATCTTTGTATTATTACACGCTGAACCCAATGCTTTAATGATACTGATGTAGGGCCAGAGAAATGTCACTAAGCCCTAGCCAAATCATCTGACAGTTGGGTCATTGAATATCGAGCAAATCATCGATCCTCGTCAAGGTCAGGGGCAACCAACGCGCATTAGTTAATCATACGCCATGGACTGGCCCATGCGGCAGTGGTCTCACTTTAGCTTGTATCTACGTTAACTAATATATTTCGGTAATAACGTCCTCTGTGTTGCACAGTCTTCAAAGCATCTATGGTACCTTGATACGTCAATCGGGTAGTCCACGTAAGGTGCTGACCACGAGGTGTGACTTCGACGTTAGCTAGTTTGTCACACCATTCATGTCTAACTCGAGTAGGCCTCCAATCATTTCGACATAAATCATCTACGTTGGTGATATACGCTGAGTTACTAATCTTACTGGGAAAGTACTTAATATGGTTCATATTCCGAATCGTTATCACAGAAAATGCTGTTTATCTATTTTTCTCTCTCTCTCATATATATACACTGTTTCTGTATACGTTCAGAAAGCGGATGGAAAAGACTATCGACGTCAACTGTTACTCACATAATTCTTCTCAGATACGTTACATATTAATGTCACTTCAGTACAAAACGATGATACTTATAATGGATATAACTGTTTATGGCTATATATTAGCAAGTTATATAATATTCGTAAATAGTTTAACTCTTAATTGATTCAACCTACATTTTATAAACAACTACCAACATCCATGTTCATCATCACCATAATCAAGGAGGTGAACCAGATGTAAAAGGTTTTAAAGCTTATTTTCCTTAAAGCTCTATTTGTGATCTATTTTTGACTTGAAAAATAGTGAATTTACTTGCTTGAGTTTGTATTGTTACAAATAACCACATTAGGCTGACTAAACATTCACTCAGGTTGTGAGCAAAAAATACGTCAAACTACTATTAAACTGGAATAAAGGCTATGTAACAAACACAAACATTACAAAAATTGACGTGTGACGGAAAAAATGCTGATAATAGCTGATAATAACGACACAAAAGTCCGCGACAATATGTAACATGTGCGCGAAAACCCCTGGCTTAACGGTTTTCCCGTCCCGTAAAATAGTTGTTTAAAGACGCATGACCTTGGATTTTTCCGTTTTCGCTTTGTATCCCCCACAGCACTGATTATTGGTCACAAATACACTGTTACACACATATACCTTTTGTTCTCAATTACCTGCTGTTATGATAACAGAACTCTAATGTATTTGCTATCCACGTTTACAGATCACAATGATATCCTCATTATATGCTTTATCTGGATATGCATCTCAAACTATAACAATTGCGATTGGAATTATTAACTACTCATGATTGTGCAATGCTAGATCAAATAACATCGAACACGCCAATTCCTGGCAATTTAAGTAACGTCCAGTATATTTTTCTTGTGTTTATAGATTATATTTAAAATATTAATACATTAATTTTTAGACGCAATAACTCTATCATTATTTTTGGGATTGATATATTCTTGGTCCTCCAGAGAGTAACTAAATATAGACAGAAATAGAGTGAGGTTTCAGTCATCTTAAAAGTGTTATCTTCGTAAATACTTCGGTGAAAAGACATTAGGATGGGATGAATGCGTGAAAATCATTGGAGCTCTGGTAAGTCTTCTAAATGAACGGCCGATCCAACTTTCTGGACGCTTCTAATAAAACCAGGCTAAATCTACACGACAACTTGAACACAAGAGAAAAGGTGTGAAGTACGAAAAGAACGCTTAATTCCAAGGTTACTTTATGTAAATATCCAGTCCGAAATATGACATGTGACTCTTTACCTTCTAGATGTTTTTCAGAAGCTTCTATTCCATGAAGGCTGGATAAAGTATTTTCCAGGGTTTTCTGGGATCTCATAAACTTTTCCGAGCAATTCTTTGGAACTCTCCAACATCACAATAGGTACAACTTGGTTTTAAAAAAGAACCATTTGACTTCGGAATCAAATATGAAATTCTGTTTTGGCTATTATTTTAATTTCGCTTTTCGTAATAGATAAGTTCAATTTCTCAGTTTCTACTTTTTTTCTACATAGAATAGTTATTTGTGTTTATCTGAATAATATTTACAAGATCTTATCAGGGGTCCTAAGAGTCCATGATTTTTCGAAAAACAAATGGTTTTTTAATCAAAATGAAAATAAAATAATTTATAGAAATATTATTAGATTAAATTTATTCTTACTATTGAACAATTATTTTAATTAGGATATTAAAACAATCGTTTAGTTTTTAATACAAACTCAAATGGATTCCTACTTCAATGACATCTTACTTATCTAGTTTACGATATAATTCTTTTGTTCACATTATGTTTATTGTGGTCATCATATTAATCATCATTTCAGATGTCATACATTGCTATCTTTCCTATATTCTTTTTAAAACGTATTATTTTCTATTATAATTTTACAGTTTGATTTGAAGAACTTTAGAAACTATTGAAACATTCAGCTATGATTTTGTTTATCTGATAAACGAATTATAAAGTTACAAACATTTCAATAAATTAGCTATTTTACCTAAAAAAATTAATCAGTTGACTTCAAGAATGTTGACTATATCTGTAATCAAGAGTTTCATTCTTAGAATTGAAGTGATAAATAAATTAGGTATCCCAAAACCTACCACTCAAAACAAATGTAACCATGATTAACTAAGAGATGTGTTACTGTATTAGCTTGGGAATTACACATAAAATTCAGTAAAAGAAGTACAAGTCAATAAAAGTCTATTTCTGAGAAGTTGAAGAAAAAATAAAAAGTATTTCAATTCCTTATAATAATATTACGTGATAAATATGTCCTTCGTGTGATGAACTCTGTGAGTTTCAGAAGTTGACTAAATCATAGTGCAGTGAAAGATTTTAAACGGTACAATGATGTACAATATATGTTGCGTGGTATGGATTCCTAATCATTAATATGTAATTTTTCTTTGGCATTTTTACTAATCAGAACACCTAAGAAAGGAAGTCTTTTGTTTATTTTCTTCCCCAATATATATGAGGTTTTGTTTGAAAACAGTTTGCCACTTTGTGATCTTTTTTTAGTTTGCTTCATCTTGTACTGGTTAACGTCTGACCTGAAGGTACTTTTCATACTGGGGGAGCTTGAATAGTAATGTTAGTGAGGAAATTTTGAAAGAAGAAAAACAAGAGGGGACGTAAGACAACGATTTAGTAAGTGCATATGATGTACTTAGAATTTGTACGTAGAGTTAATCAAATATAGGCCGAGTAATAAGTGGGAGATGTTGACGGGAGTGCGCTGTTGGTTGAGATTTGGCATAACTTCTTGAAGAAACAGATATACTATATTGATTGAAAATTCAGCTTAGTTTGCTGAGATGAACAGATACATATTTATGAATAAGTTGTGAATATATTTCTTAATGAGGTCAGTCAATATAAACTTCTTATTCACTCTTGATTCCCATAATGAAGTATTGAACTTGGATGACCGCAAAACACAGTACCAGTTAATAATGCTAGCGATCGATAATAATTGGCAATACAACATGAGCGAGAATATAACAATCCGATAATCAAAACCAGAAGTCCTAGCATGAGACTTGAAATCCTTTAAACATCTTATCATTTGAAATGTGTCTTTTGCCTAGTGAACCTAGATTTTCAGTTAGACTATGGGCAAAACAAAAGCCTTTATTCTTTGTATCACTATTTTTGTAATAATCTGGACATTGTCAGTGCCAATTAATTTTCTCCTGTGTTTATCTATATGTTGTTATTAAGTTTGAAATATATTCATAAACACGACCTTATTAGTTCTATTAGGAGTGGGTTTGGATACTTAGTATATTTCAAAAAGAGTTCAATCATTTATTATTGTAACATTTTAGTTCATTAGGCTAAACCACTCAAATAGTTAGAAGGATACCATATTACTCCA